TCTTGAAAAAAAAAAAAAAGAATGCGCGTAAATGGGCCCCCTATAAGGTTTGATCTTTTCAAACATCACAAAATAATAATATCCAAGCTTCTTGAAGTTTGAATTTCTAATCTTTTTTCACAAAATAATCTTTTTCAAACATCACAATATATATATATATATATGTGTGTGTGTGTTAGCAACAAATTTAATAAAACTCTTCAAGTTTTCAATTCATTCTCTTGTTACTTTTCCATTAATTAAGTATTATAATTTTTGTCTATTTTATTATGTAACAACTGTTACTAACAAATCATAAAGTCACATTAAATGATATTTTAATCTAAAACTTTTTTTTAGACAATTTATCTAAAATTATTATTTATTCTTTTTTCGTTTTTACTCATGAAGTAAGTTTTTTTTATCATATCAAACGTTTTTCCTACACAATTGCAATCATAATAATTTCGATATTGTTTTATCTAATTAACTATTCGTAATTGACGAATATTTGAAAATATATATTATTGCAATTGATATAACAATAAATATGTAAATTAATAATTTATATTTATATCGTTCATTTCTACTAATTATAAGATTTATAAAATATGATATACTCATTTTCTAACTTATAATTTTAAATACTAGTTTAACTACTTGCATTATCAAATAAGTGCAAGTTACTTGCTCACCCACGCCAGATTATCTTCCGTTTGAGCTTGACTTTAACGTATCCTTTTTTCTTCCAGAAACCGGGAGACCCGACATGCGAGCAACCAGAGTCCGAAGCTCCTTCATCTCCAAACGTCAAACACGGCAAGAAAATCCCTCTTCTTCCCCTTGTCTTCATCATATTCTACGAGGTCTCGGGAGGACCCTTTGGCATCGAGGACACCGTCAACGCTGCTGGCCCACTTCTCGCTCTCGTTGGCTTCTTAATATTCCCGCTGATATGGAGCGTCCCGGAGGCCTTAATCACCGCCGAGATGGGCACCATGTTCCCCGAAAACGGTGGCTACGTGGTCTGGGTTTCCTCTGCCTTAGGCCCATTTTGGGGATTTCAGCAGGGCTGGATGAAGTGGCTGGGTGGGGTCATCGACAATGCCCTTTACCCCGTCCTATTCCTCGACTACCTCAAATCCGGAATACCCGCCCTCGAAAGCGGCTGGCCTAGGGTCCTAGCCGTCATTGTCCTAACGCTCCTCCTAACCTACATGAACTACCGAGGCCTAACCATAGTCGGTGGCATTGCTATAGCGCTCGGCATATTCTCCATTCTACCCTTCCTCGTCATGGGATTCATCTCCATACCCAAAATAAAGCCGAGGAGATGGCTAGCCGGAGACGTTCACCACGTCGACTGGAATTTGTACCTCAACACGCTCTTTTGGAACCTCAACTACTGGGACTCGGTCAGCACAATATCCGGCGAGGTCAAGAACCCGAAAAGGACCCTCCCGAGAGCCCTATTTTACGCCCTCGTACTCGTCGTCCTCGCCTACTTCTTCCCCCTGCTGACGGGGACCGGCGCCGTCCCCCTGCAGCGGGACCGGTGGACCGATGGATACCTTGCTGACGTGGCAGAGGCCGTCGCCGGTTCGTGGCTGGGGTGGTGGGTCCGGGCGGCCGCCGCCGCCGCCAACGTGGGCATGTTTGTGACGGAGATGAGCGCCGACTCGTTCCAGCTGCTCGGGATGGCCGAGCGGGGGATGATCCCGGAGCTCTTCGCCAGGCGGTCGAAGCACGGGACCCCGACAGTCGGGATCCTGCTGTCGGCATCGGGTGTGTTCGTGCTGTCGTGGATGAGTTTCGACGATATTGTAGCGGCTGAGAACTTCCTCTACTGCTTCGGGATGGTGCTGGAGTTTGTGGCCTTTGTGCGGCTCCGGATGGTGGCGCCACGGGCACAGCGGCCATACAGGGTGCCTGTGGGGACCGTTGGGGCTGCGGTCATGTGTGTGGCTCCAACGGCCCTCATATGCGCCGTGCTCTACTTTTCGACGCTTAGGGTTTTTGCGGTGAGCGTGGCTGCAATTGTGGTTGGGCTCGTTTTGCAGCCGTGTATGAGGTATACTGAGAGGAAGGGGTGGCTTAGGTTCTCGACCAGCCAGGACCTTCCGGATATTCGGTTTCGGGAAGCTCGGTGAAAGGTTTCTTGATCTTTTGTGCTTTAGGTTAGGATGGATGTAAAGGGAATAACTTATACGGAAAATGTGTTCTTTTTATATTTTTTTCCCACAAATCCTTTGAAGTAGTTTGAACTTTGAAAGTAAAAGTAGTGAAATTTCGATTTTCCTTGTGTAAGTTGGTACTATTGAAACAGATACATCAATTATTGTGCATCAAAGTTGATGTACAAAATTAACGAATTCATAAAAAAGAAAAAGTCCAATAATCAGTGGATTATCATCTGTTGTCGTTTTTCCTTTTCCTTTGTTCGTCAGCTGGAAGGTGCTCTGATTCATACAGTCACAGAGTTTCCTCTTGAAACATTTATAGTTTTGAGGCTTCAGGTCCCTTGCGGTAAATGGGCATCATATAAAGCTATCGACCATGGCCGCTATACGGGTCACACATTCGACCTAAGGAGGCATTTATCAACCGCAGCTTCTAATTAACCGAACTCAGGCTACTTACATAAGACCGGAGTTAACGTCGTTCTTACTCATTTTTAGAAACTAAACAAACTGGCACAACTATGCCGAGATAAGAAAGCTCATACGTATGTATTATTCTCCCATTGTTACCTGTATATCAGGGTGATGAGAGTTCAGTTCAAATTATCACTGGCGAAAAATGCACAAGTATTCGTTTACACTGTCAAATTTACAACCCTTTCAGCACCCAGGGCTGATAAGAACATGCCCAGTCTTCAAACCCGAGCACGATCCGACATTTTTTACTGTTCAAGTCGGACTCAAACCTATAATAAATTTGCTATAGAATCACTAATAACAAAATCCAATCCTCTCCAATACATAAGCATTTTTATAACCACATAAACTCATCCACAACTTCAAGGCACATCTAGTTGATTAAAACAAGAGAGGTAATTAGTTACTTTCTCATAACATAGAAAGATGTACTGCAGTTTCACAATTTTTCAACTTCCCAAAGATATCAGAGATTAAAACAACTAACCAAAAGCAACTACAACACACGTCATTACAGAGACAAATATTAAGGCACATTTCTAAAACAACTCTTCATCGAAATTATTACTCTAAACATGAAAATCAAAGCAACACATTCTCGAACCCGGACAACCAGCCTCAATCCCCCATTCCCCACATAAAAAAACGCGAACACAGTCCCCGCCGGGTGGCCGAGCTCCACACACCACAACCTCATATGCGGCGTTTCTTGGGGAGACGGCACCCGTTGTGTGGCTTACGGGTCGTGTCCTCAAGATACACGACCGGGTTCACATCACTCCTTGAGTTAGAATACCCATCCCTGAAGCTCAGAATTGCGTCCTTCTTCCTCCTAAAAAACGTGAACCCATTCACCTTCACAACCACCGACCGAGTCTTCATCTGCCTCACCTTCCGCCCTGCATTCTCGGCAGCTGCTTCCCCCGAGTACCGCCCCAGCTTGCCGCCCTTGCCCGCCAGCTGCCCAGCCGTGACCCCAAACTTCTTGTTCCCCTTGGAGTCCGTGACCGTTACAAAGGCATTGTTGCGCATCAGCCTGATGTGGACAATGTCGGCATTTGCCTCCACCTGGGGTTGCTGGTAGAGCGGGGCCCGCCCACCGATGCTGTTCCCCCTCTCCTGGACCATTCCTCGAAAGGAGTTGGCTGGACGGGGCTGCTGGGGTGGGGCATTCGAGTTATTCCCCCTCTCGTGGAGCAATCCTTTGACGTAGTCCATGGACCTGAGGAGAGGGGTTCTTCCCGCCTCGTCTTCGGCTGGTTTCCCGGAGTGAATGGGTCTCGTGAGATTTAGTGCGTGTGTCCAAGTGAGATTATTGGATACACTCCCATAAATTGAGGAATGGGTCAGGCCTGCAAATTTATTTATTTATTTATTATTTGATGTTATTGAAGTTGTAAAAATTATCATCAGATTTGTAGAAAGGTCATTGATTTATTAAAAATCCCAACTTCACAAAGTTGTCGATTAGTAAGCCTTATCACGATATGATGAAAATGGCGATGGGGAGAGGGACGCAGATCGTCCAACAAACTTTCGAGGGTTATCCTGCGTCGTACTTGAATTTTAATTGGAAAACATGTAGTGCAGTTAAGATTATCCAATCCGCAGCCCTCGATTCTAAATAGAATAAGGGACCTACTAACAAACAAAACACTCAGAAGCGCCTCTATTGCAGCATCACTCTGTCTTAAATACACACAGCAGTTGGTATAGCTGAACAACGTTGGGTTTTAGTCTCCCACATATCTCTTAACCACACAGTGACATTTCCAAGCCTCATAATTATTACATCCTATCCAATCACCTTTTCTCCTTTGGACTTCGGTTATATTTCTATCACAAGATAAAAATTGAAAAGACAACATAGATGCATAAATATATGTTGTATGAGCTACGTCGTACTTAAAAGGTACAAAAGAATAGAGAAACATCAGCATATTTCATGTGATCAATTAGAATGTTAAGATACAAACTTACAATTTCAGCACATAAATTCAAACTTATTCGTGGCAATTTACAAAAATAAAACAATTACCAGCAAAATGAACTGTACAGAAAATGGAAATGAAGAAATATATAAACCAACCTGTAGAGGCATGGCCATTGTGTGGAATCTGGGAAAACGCATGGATTGGCCTACGAGATCCAAGGGCCCCCGAAGCTTGTCTGTGAAACTCAGCCAGCAGCCCCGACCCGAGGAGGGTCCTTCGTAACATCGTCTGCAGCAACATTCGAAAAATTGGCCAAAACTTCTATGAATAAAAGCTTTTTTTTTTTTTTTTATCACAGGACAATGCACAAAGATGATGTATGAAAATTTGGTGTATATAGTCATAAAAAACTTGAGGCATGATACACAATTCATTCAAATTTAAATATCCTGCAAACGTAGAAGAAATCATTCGATCCAAAACATCTCGCTTCCGGCAAATTACACAAAACTAAACAAATATCTATCACACATTTCAAAATATTAGCAAAGCAATTGAAGATCCCACCACAATAAAGAATTCAACACACACACACACACAAACACACACACACACACACACACAAACACACACACACACACACACAAACAC